TGAATCACCAGCCACTCCTTGGAAACCCTGTGGGGCAGTTCTACTCTGTCCTATAGGGTCGCTATGAATCGGAACCGACTCAACAACTATAGGTTTTGGGAGTTAAGAAGGGGGGAAGCTGATATTTATTTAGCCCACCGTGTGAGGGGCTGGAGGCGATATACGGGTGTGCTCTCTTTTAAGACTCTATGCGTGAAAAGCCAGACTTTAGAACAGATAAATTAAGAGGTAGTTATTTGCATAACAAATTTTTCTTTTCATTTTATAAAGGGATTCACCGCAGGGTTCCTTTATAGAGTAAGCTTCCACAGTGCAGGCTAATATGATGCCATTTACAAATACTCTATTCATAATAACTTTTCAAGAACGTTCCTATTCTGTACAGTAAGGCTTAGCTACAATCATTTTTTCCTGGCAGTGTAAGATTTCCTACTTCTGAAAAGTAATTGAGCTGACCTTGTCAGTTCAATGGGGACAGTAAGCACTCTACCTCCTCCTTGTCTCCAAGAGGAGCTTTGCCTGACAAGTATAAAGGCATAGATTCTAAGTCTGCATTATGTGACACTAAAGAGCTGGTATAATTTTACATTTTTAAGCTAAGCTCCTCTTGGTAGCTGCAGCAAAATTCCTAAAATGTAAACTCCTCACTATTCTAGCAGTTCATTTCATACCCACCCCCCTCCGCAAAAAAAAGGTGCCTTCAAGTCAATTTCAACCCATAGCAACCCCATATGCTACAGAGTAGAACTGTTCCATAGGGTTTTCTTGGCTGTAATCTGTATGGAAGCAGATTGCCAGGACTTTCTACCGTGGTGCTGCTGAGTGGGTTCAAACCGCCAGCCTTTAGGTTAGAAGTTGAGTGTAAACTGTTTGCACCACTCAGCTTGCTAATGTCCTGATAAATATGTTACAAGCAAATACTTATAAAGGGTAATGTTTCTCTCTCTCTCTCTTTTCAAAGACATTATCTTAAAACTGGGGCAAGTCATGTAAGTATTCAAATTGGAACTCTCCCCAGCAAAATAGGAAATGGTGTCACTGATTCAATTTAGGACCCATCTCCCTCTTTGATTGGGTCTTGAGCTTGAATCTTCACACAGCTTCGTGGTATTATGCAATTGCTCTTTTTAAGAGATGCACAAAACGGAAACCCTGGCTATTCATAGCCAACTTAGGAGGAGCTGAAATTGTTCAAGAAGTTTCTTGCTCAGTACCATTTTGCTGGTAACTATGTGTTTCTGAGCAAATCCACTTAGTCTAGCTTTCAGATGGAGGTTATTTTAAAGAGTTGTCTCGTGGCTTTTGTTTTCATACTCTGTGGTGACTATATTTTAGAAAGAGATAAGCATTCCCTGTGTTTAGTCTGAATATTTTTCAGGCTTTTTGGTGATGGAAGAAGCTTACATGGAAATGCAAGGGCAGAGAAAAATCATTCCTCTGGAAGTCCTGTGTGGTGTTGCCCTGTGGTAGGGCAGATCTGTGTGGCCAGGCTGCTAATGGAGATTCGGTGAGATTCTTCAAGGGGGAAGTGAGGGAGACCCAGAGGGCTTGGTGACAAGCAGAGCTCGTGTCAGGGGCCGGCAGGCACAGTTCTGAGGTGGATTCCTGGACAAATGGCATGGTTGGCTCGGGGAGGCTGATGGGGAGGGTGGGGGGTGGGGGGCCGGAGGAGAGTGGAGATGGCTTGGCTGCCCCTGGACTCTGTTGCTTCTCCAAATATATGGCACGTAGCATTTCAGCCATTTCTAAAGTTGCGCGCTGGCAGAGAAAGCACATTTCATCCATCTGTTAGGCTCTCTAAAGAGGTGTCTCCCTCTTCATCTTCCCCCTGAGGTCAGAAGCTCTGAAATTGCAAACAGCAGCGAGGAGGCTCAACTGCATTATTGATGCTGCTGCGCCTTCTGTCTGTCTCTGATCTCCATCTCTATTTCTCTTCTCCTTTTTCACTTGGAATTGTTGCTACCTGGTTTTTATCTCCACCATGTTTGTTTGTTTCCCAGGTGCAGTACATAGTGGTGGCAGGTATAGATTATAAAACTAGTAGGTAAATACTGGATATTCTGAGGCAGTGGTGGTCCAGTGGTAGAATTCTCACCTTCCATGCTTGAGACCTGGGTTCAATTCCCAGTCAATGCACCTCATGCACAGCCACTACCACCACCCATCTATCAGTGGAGGCTTCGTGTCGCTATGATGCTGCACAGGTTTCAGCGGAGCTTCCAGACTAAGATGGACTAGCAAGAAAGGCCTAGTGATCTACTTCTGAAAATCAGCGAGTGAAAATTCTCTGGATCACAACTGTCCGATCCCATTGCACATGAGGTCACCGTGAGTCGAGGGTTGACTCTGGCAGCTAACAACCACAAATTCTAGATAAACTAATTTGGTTTAATTTGGTTGGGTATTAATTTGGTTTTCTTTTTCCCCGGTGGTAATTTAAAACTTTTCAAAATGAAAGCTAACAGATACTAGTGAAATGAGATATAAATTCCCATGCCTTTTTATAATCAAACCGAAAGCTGGCCCTTGGGGTGGGGGTGGCGCATTTCCCATGCTCTGCTATCAGGGGCTATTCAAAGGAAGAATTTGTGAAGCCCTATGACTTGATCACAAACAGAGTATCCAACCCACCCCCACCCTGAACCTCTCCCTCCTTCCAAACAGCATCTGAACAGATTTTCACTTCACAAATGGAAATGGAATGAGAGCAAAAGTTTTTTTTTCAATTGGTTTTATGAAGAGTGGGCATGTTCAATTGGGTTTTTGAGACAGGATTAATATTATAAGCTGGGGAGTTCTGTGATATGCCTATGCCGTCGGCTTTGCCACACTGCCTGCCTCCTGGGGGAATCGCAATGAAAAGTGCCACTATTCAGAAAAATTTTGCTTCTGCCTCTGCTTCTCATCCAAGTGACATACAGCCAGCCTGGGCCAAGTGTCCAAGCCTGACGTGAGTCACATGTAATGTCAGGAAGGCCGTCCCGAGCTCAAGGTCATATCTGGAGCATGCCTTCGATATTTTTTTCAACTCTAATTTGTGTGACTTTCTAATACGTTTAGCATTTGCCCTCCCCCTTGTCTCCATCTTGCTTATTAAGGTAAATTTGCATATAAATGAGATCTTGGTCTTCAGGACCATTCACCTGACACTTGATCTCTTGAGGTGACCGTTGTCTGCTGTTAATGCCATGAGGGTGACCCACAGAAGCCATGTCTCCCTTCAAACAGGAGGCAAGGCCTTAATTAGGATCAGCTTTGCATGTTAAAGTAATGGGGTGAATCAAGTCACCAAAGGCATTTAGCAATAACAAAGGGGGGCAGAATACTCCTCCCTGTTGAGCGGGTCATTCTAGGTCACAACAATTTGAATTTGCCTTAGATGGACAGATCTTGAAGAAAGTGTATAAAAAGTGTCTTTCTTTTATTTGGAAAGAATCTGGGCTCAGAGAGTTTAACTATGACATTTTACTTTGGCTTCTGATTTTTTTTTTTTCTTTCATATCTGTCTTTGCAATTGGTAGTATTTATCTCTACAAATTACCTTTGGAAGGTCGAGTAAATGTGGAAAATCAGAGAAATGAGGCCCTCCCTATCACTGCTCCTGCCGTCGGCTTCAATCCTCTGATCTCCACACTCCACGCCCTCCCACACACTGCCACCTTCCTCATTTACCCAAATATTGTCTACTTGGGCAGAAATTCCCACTTCGAGGACAACCGTGGTCCCAGTTTGCGGGTGATTGAAAGTCTAATAGGTTTGACAGTTACTTGTAAACTAACCTAAAGGGTTTGGGACTTAAGCAAATTGGGAAAATGGAAGTGCCAGACAACAGCATTCAAGACTGTGTCCTGACAGTAAGCCGTCTTAGCAGAGAATCAAAGGATTTGATGGTCACGGAGAACAAGCATCAAATTTTAATGAGAAACCTTTTAAGGAGATGCGAGAGATCAGAAGAAAGCATGGGCTGCTTTTGGCCAGGCTACCTTTGCTGGGGGAAAATGTGGTCATTAAAATGATTTTTAAAACATAAATTACACTTAGCTTTGTATGGTATAATGCTTTGCATCGATTATTTAATCTCACAAGCTTATGAGTTGAATATCATGATCCCCATTTCACAGATGAGGCAACTGAGAGAGACTCCAAGGGATATAATCACTTGCCCCAAATCACACAGCTATTCAACGACAAAACCAGGCCTCAACCCAGCTCCCTTTCTATTACATCCCCCAGTTTCCAGTTGCCATTGAGTTGACCCCAACTCATGGAGACCCCATGTGTGTCAGAGTAGAACTATGCTCCATAGACTTTTCAATGCTGATATTTTTTGCAAGTAGATTGCCAGGCCTTTCTTCTGAAGTGTCTCTGGATGGATTCAAACCCCCAACCTTTCAGTTAGCAGCTATGCACTTAACCGTTTACACCACCAGGGACTACCATTACATCCCTAGTGTCTCCTAAAAAAACAACTATTTTTCATACTAACTGTAGGATGTAGGCTGACTCATTTCTTTACACACTCCCATGCATTATTAGCAGGGGCCAGTATTTTCACTCAGTTCAGAACTATCAAAATCCAAATTCCCAAAAGGTCCTTGGCTTCCCTAAAATAATAAAAATAAGGAATCTGACCAATCAAGACTCCCAGCTCTAAGACCAGAATGCGTTCTACTGTCAAGCCGTGCAGAAGGACGCTCAGTTCCCCACTGGCCAGTGCTGTCTAATTCTCTTAAATGATTCAGATGTAAAAGAGAAAATGGCATCTGCCTAATTAACACTGCCTGGTTAAATATAGTTGCCAAGGGACAGCCTCGGGACAGTGTTTACACAACAGCCTTTCCAGCCCCTCGAGCCTCACGTTAGAGATGACAGCGAGTCTTCCTTATCAACCGGAAACAGATGCCCCAGAAACGGGGACAGGCCAGGATAGACACAGGGAGATGAAAGGAGAGGGGAAAGGCTGTCACTGGCCTGCGTTTCCTGCTCTGGCATCTGGGGATTCAGAGAATGAACCCTGGAACCAGTCCTACAGGCTCTAGTAGCTCCTCCTGCAAACCGAAGCCCTCACTATGCGTCTGTGTCCCCCTCTCCAGCGGAGACATCTGACCCCTCCCCTGTGAACTGTTAAGACTGCTGAGCCTTACCGCCTTCTCTGCTGCCCTGCTCTGGCGGACAGGCACAATGACCACATTCTTTCTCTTCCAGCTTCATGTTACAACATGGAAGCCATCGCCAAGTTTGATTTCACCGCCTCCGGTGAGGACGAGCTGAGCTTTCACACTGGAGATGTTCTGAAGGTAGGTGATGTGAGGCCCAGGGGAGCGAGAGGGAGTTTCTGTTACTCGAGTCTGGCCACTGAGTTAATCTAGCAGTCCACACCTTTGTCTCTTAGGGACTACACACAGTTCCTTTTCAACAACATTGGGTATGGTAGAGGTTCGCCTCCATTAAGAGGGTTCCTGGGGAGCACCTGTGTGCCACATATCAGGCTAGGTGATAGAACTGCAAAGGTGGTAGAAATACAAATAAGCCGTCATCCTTATCTCGGGATGCTTGTGGTCTGGAGGGGGAAACAACATCATCCAAAGAACTATTGTCAATGCTCTTATCTAAGCACCCAGAGAGCACAGGTGAGGCAACATGTGATTCCCCTTGAATGCGTGGCAATGTCAGTGTCAGGGAATGCAATGAAGATGAATTCACCAGACAGGACAGTGGGAGGTTGTCCAGACAGAAGCAACAACATGAGCTAAAGCTCAGAGATGTGAAAGTTCATGCTGAACTTGAGGAGCATGGTGAGGTTCAGCACAGCTGGAACTTAGCAGTAGAGGAGGCAGATGGAGAAGCCTGGGAAAGGCAGCTGAAGGAGAGGTGGCTCAACAAAGGCCGTGCACACGCGAACTTCTTAAACTTGTCTTCAGCCTGCACTTGAGTTGTAGTGGCCACTTGTTGAGCTGAAGAGGAGTTGGCCTTCTCCCACATTTCATGCCCCAAACTTACAGGCTCTACATCTTAACTCTTGTGTTTTGCAGAAGAGCAAAAGCCCTTCAAGAGCCCATTAGGGTGTATGTGATGCCACTACACCCCTATCTAGCTTCAGAGCACCCATGGATATCCTGATCCTTTGTCTCAGGAGCCTGACTGGGCCTTCTCGGACTGCCCAGGGGCACTGAGGCCACCAATGTCTCGTCACCAAGAATTACTCTTGCTATAGAAAGAACCTTCTTGGCATGTGAGAGGGTGACTCAGAAAGGGCCCATGGAGTGCAGACCTTGTAGAGTAACTTGGAATTTGAGCACCCGGGTATTTAGCCTTCTAACTACCCTTAACTTGCAAAATCTACTAATAGGGTTGCAAAGAGTTTGCCTTCAATGTCAAAATATTGGTTGGGTTGTTGACTGCCCCGGAAAAGGTGGTTTTCACTGCCTTGGGATCTTACCAAGGTCACAGAGGGAATGGACACAAGCTGGGAAGTCCCTTCCTTCTTTATGGGGCTCTGTGACCATGTGATTAGCAACCTCTCTAGAGCATCTTCTGCTCAAAAGAGGCTGGGACGAATCCCACTGCTTATCTTCCATTGCAAATAGAACTTATTATCTTGCTTAAGTTTTGTCTATTCTCCAGAAAAAGAAAAAAAAATTGTTCAACTCTGGTTCCCACTCTAGCCCCTAACTTCTTTTCTCTCCTTCACTGCCAATACTGGGAAGAATTATCTACACTGGGGGCCTCCACCTCCTCACTTCCCATTCATTCCCCACAGCCCTCTAGAATCTGCCTTTAATCCCCAAGGCTCTATTCAAGTCCACCAGTGATCTCCTTCATGTGAAATATAATGAGCCTTTAGTCTTCAGGGTTGCCATGAGTTGGGGTCGACTTGACGGGCATAGGTTTAGTCTTCATCCTGCTAAAATGCCTGTAGAATTTGACACTATTGACTGTCCCTCTCCTTGAAACTTTTCTCCCTTGCTTCAGTGGTGCTACACTCTCTTGGTTCTCTTCCTCCCTTCCTGAGAATACCTAAGTCTCTTTTTGGAGTGCTTCTTTTCCTCTCTTTATCCTAAAATATAAGCTTCCCTGAAGGTACGCCCTTGTCTTTCCAATTTTGTCCTCTCTCTGAGCCATCTCATCCACTTCTCTGGCTTCAACTCTCACCTCTACGCCAAAGACCTTCAAGTGTACTGTTCTTGCTCCAGCTCTGAGCTCTCTCTTGAACTGTAGACCCACGTTCCCAACTGTCTGCTGGATGTCACCATGTGGACACCAGCTCCTAACTCAGGATGTCCAGAATCAAAATCAACTCTCCCACTTCCACCCAAACTGCTCCCTTATCCATGTACTGAGCATTACCATAGGTCAGCTACCAAGCTAGAAGCCTTAGTTATCATCAATTTCTCCCTTGCCAAATCCTGGAGATTAGTAACTAACATCTCCAGAGCACCTGCAATGTTAGTTACACGTGTTTTGCAGGCATTATTTCATCCTCTCAGCAAACCTATGAGGTAGGCACTACTTTTTTCCTCCATTTTACAAAACTGAGGCTAAGGGGTTAAATCACTTGTCCAAGGCCACACAGCTAGAACGTGACTAAGCCAGGGCCCAGATGGAGCTCTGTCTGACTACAGAGCCTTTCTCCTAAGCACTATACTCTGCTCTGAATATTCTTCTTCAATATGTATATACAAAGATATGTGGTTCAAAACCACCCAGTGGCTCCATGGGAGAAAGACCTGGCAATCTGCTACCATAAAGATTACAGCCGAGAAAATCCTATGGGGCAGTTCAACTCTGTCACATGGAGTCACTGGGACTTGAAAATCGACTCAACAGCACCCAATAACTCTGTGTGTGTGTGTGTGTGTGTGTGTGTGTGTGTGTGTATTCCCCTTCTTCACTAGAAGAAGAGGACTTTGGAGCCAGGTAGATCTGAGTTTGAATCCCTGCTTACTAGTTGTGTGGTCTTGGGCTAGTCACTTGCTCATCTCTGAGCTTCAGTGTCTCCCTCTATACATGGAGGTAGAATCTATCTTGCAGGCTTATGGGAAGGATTAGAGGTAACTGTCCTGGCCCAAAGTGGGTGCTTAGTCACGGTCGCCATGTTATCAGTATTATCCATTCCTGCTGCCTCTGACAGTTCAGACTATTGCCACAGCCCTTGACTGACTTCATTGCCTTATGTCTCTTTCTCCTTCAATCATTCTACTTACTAGTTCCAGAGGGATCTTTCTAGAAGACAAATCTCATCACATCGCTTCCTTTGCTCAAAAGCAATCGTTGGGTCCCCATTACTAACTGCTTGAAATTTAAACCATCTGGCTCCAACCCAGTGTCCAACCTCATTTTGCACAGGTACATGCACATGCACACACATACACACACCCCTACCCTTGTGTACCTAATGCCCCCAGATCACACTGTGATATATACATGATCCTTTCTCAACCTCTTCCCTATACTCCAAATGTCCTTCTCCTGCACGCACATATTTTATCACGTCAGCCATGAAACCTTCACTGATCCTCCCCCCACTTCCTACCAGCCCAACAAAATTAATCACTCCCTCGTCAGCTCTTCCACAGCGTTTCACAGACACTTCATTCTGGGTACTTATGATCTTGCCTCATCTGACAGTTATTTATGGGCACTCTGCGGCTCCGTGCTCCTGTGCACCCTGTCCATCCATCTCCCATTGCTGCCCTTACCCCAGGGATCCTAATTGCCCATTTACGTATTGGCTACTCCACGAACCACAGCTCTGTAAGGGCAGGGATCATGTCTGCCTCAGTGTTTAGAACAGTAACTTGGCACAAGGTTGACCCTCCCTAATATTTGAGAAATGAGTGAATGATTGATTCCTCCATTTGTCTGTGAGCTCCTTAGGAGCAGAGCCATGCTGGCTTCATCTTTGTATCTTGACAGTGTCTAACACAACTCATGGCCCAAAATAGGTGCTCAGTTCATATCTCCTGAATTGTTAAATTGCATTTCTGCGTGCTCATTTAGAATTCCACCAGTAAGCCAAAGTCCTCCTTCTTGTCAAATTCTGCCCATTGCAGCTGTCACAGTAAGGAGAAAAATGGAGAGGGGCTTGTTGACTGAGCCTCCCGGAACGTGTGTATGATGGTGGCTAGTGTCCCTGCCTGTGGTTCCCTGTGTACAGAGTGGATGTCTGTCCCTCCCCTCCAGAGATGGGGAACATGCCCCAGTATCCTCGCAATTGTTTTCAAAGCCAGTTCTTGACTGCCTCAGTAATTCATTTCTGGGATGCTATTGTCTCTTGTTTGGCCTTCAGTGCTAAAAATTAAACAGAGTTTTCGTTAGAAGGTACAAAAAATGTCTGACTAGCTCACCAGCCACCCACTCCCCCTTCAGATGGTGAGCTCCCCAGGGCCAAGGCACCAGCTTATTCGTCTCTATATTCCCAGCACCTAAGTGCAAACAGCAGGTGCTCACTAGATGCTGATTGCAGGGAATGGTAAACAAGATGGTGGACTGGGTAGCGAACTCCTGTGAAGAAACATTTCAAAAGTCACAAATAGGATTTTTTGTGTTTATGTTACAAATCTCCATACCTGCAATTACACACAAGCACATGACTTACATTATCCATTTGAATCTGACAGCTGTTTTGAAAAATGTCTCTTGACCCAGTCCATTTCTCTCTGCTTCTGTAAAGCGTCTAGCCTGGCCTCATTTCTTCCTACTAAAACAGCACCCTCAAAGCACTGAGAGTTAATCCTACATAATTAGCTTCTTCAATACTTCAGATTTCTGCTCTGCCTCTAAGCGCTACAATTCCATCCAATTTGAAAATTCTTTGAACCGTACATTTTGCCCTTCTCTTCCCACGTTTAACTTATTCTCAGGCCATGTAACCCAGAAAATGATTCTTTTAGTCAACATTGTAAGAATTAAGGCACAGTAAATTGAAGTGCAAAACTTCGTTTGTTTAAGCTGAACTCTTTGCTCGGGTTTACACGATGCGCACAGAGATAGGAGGAACCGAATAGATGCGGAGATGAGAACAGGAAGTGCGGGGCCCTGGGCCAGCAACGGCAGGAGGAAACCAACTCCCCCCAAGGAGTTTTCTCTGCAGAAGATGCAATTTTTTAAAAACCTTGCTTTCTATATGCCATAAAAAGCCTACAAATTCAAATCTCTGGAAACCCAATTTCAGATGCAGGCCAAGCGCCAGGTGGTGGAGAAAAATGGTCGGCATTGCGGGATAATCTTTCAGTTGCTAGAGGAAGCTGATGGGTGGGAGCCATGATTACTAAAATTACAGCTGGTTTCAGGTTGGAGAACTAAAGACAAAGTGTAGTTGTTACCCTGATGACCTAATTTCCAAATGGCCTCCTCTACCTCATCCCTGCTCACCTTTATATATGTCTGCCCTGGCCACACACCCCATCGCCATGTGATGGAAGAAAGGAATTTCAAGGCCATAAACTTAGAAGAGATAGCACAGAGTGAAACCTTCTTATTTTCTTTATGTGGATACAAGGCCCCAGTGCTGTCTTTCCTAGTTCTTCTTTTGACCTAGATTTTCTGCTTCCCCCTCCACCCCCAGCTAACACATACCCACATGCCCTCAGTGATACCAACAGTCACATTTGATGTTGGAAACTATAAAGTTTTCTGTTCTCAGTAATTCTAAACTCAAATATGGGACACACTTTTATTTCTTCAGAACAAATGATTAAATTCAAAACATACACATAAAATACTTGAAACAACTTACAGACCCTTCCATGTCCTTCAGAGCTGGAGTCCTCCCTCATAAGAATATCACATTCTACAGAATTATATAAAAAAAAAGTAGATACTTTCTGAAGGACTTTCAAGCACCAGCGCTCATTTGATCCTTAGTTCAGCTCTGTGATGTGCTGAGTTATTATTATTCCCATTTTTCAGATGGTTAATTGACTTACTCAAGGTCACACAGCTAGTGGCAGAGGCAAGCTAGAAAGCAGGTCTTCTGGTTCCAAACTCATGGCTCTGTCCGCTTTCTTCCACCTTGGGAGTAATATTTGAAATAGGTCATCATTGCTTCTCCAGCCGCTAACTGAAAGGTCAGCAGTTCAAACCTACCAGCCACTCCAAGGGAGAAAGATGTGGCAGTCTGCTTCTGTAAAGATTACGGACTTGGAGCAGTTCTACTCTGTCCTATTAGGTCACTATGAGTCAGAATTGAATCAATGGCAATGGGTCTCAATTACTTCACTCTCTTCAATTCTCTTCCCATCCTTTCTCTAGCAGAGAGAAAACTACGAAACCCATGACTTCAACTCTACCTATACTTGGATGACTCCCAAATCTTAAGATCCAGTCAGATGTCTCTCCTGAGTCTAGACACACAGTGGGCATTTCTTCTTAGATGGTTCCACAGGCAACTCAAATTCACCCACATGCAATCTGAAGTCCCCAAGTTTTCCTTCAGACCTGTTCCTCTTCCTGAATTTTCTATTTTAGTAAAAGGTATCGCCACCCACTTGGTCTCCCAAGCCATAAATCCAGAATCTTCCCAGAATTCCCCTAGCTCCCACGAACAAGCACCAAATCCTACCCATTTTACCTCCTGTGCTGTTAGCTGCTGTCAAGTAGAGTCAACCCCTAACTCATGGCTACCCCATGCCCAACGGGCTCAGACCATTGTGATCCATAGGGTTTTCACTGGCTGATTTTTCAGAAGTAGATTACCAGGTCTTTCTTCCAAGTCCATCCTAGTCCAGAAGCTCTGCCAAAACCTGTTCAGCATCACAGCAACACACAAGCCTCACTGACAGACAAATGGTGGCTCTGCTTGAGGTACATTGGCTGGGATAGAACCCAGGTCTCCCGTATGGAAGGTGAGAATTCTACCCCCAAACCACCATTACCATCAAACCAATTCCTCTAAAATATGTCCTCGCCTCTTCTTAGCCCAGCCCGTCATTTCTAACCTGGGTGGCTACACTCATCTTCCTACCATTTCTCCCCCGACTTTGCCCCTCCAATGCATCGTCATGCTCTCATACAGCGCTCTTTCTTAAATCTAATTCTTACCATGCTATTTCCCTCCTTAAAAATCCTTTAATGGCTTCCCATAAATTTCAAGATAAAAATCCAAACTTTTCAACATGGGCCACAAGGTCCTGTGCCTCTAGCTTCCCTTCTCTCTACCCTGGATTCCCAGTCCAAACTCCAGCCATCCTGAAGCATATGGCACCCACAATGCACTACACTCTCTTATAGCCTCTCTTTGCCATCTGACTTCACCTGAGTAACTCCTTGCATTGCCTGGGCAATTCAACCCAGATGGCCTCTCCTCTAGGTAATCTTTCCTGCTCATCTTCTGCTTTCCCCATTACCAGATCAAAAATGACTTAAATAATAAGGAAGATGTATTATTTCTCATACAAAGTCCAGAAGGAGAATGGCTCCTGGGGTGGTTAATTCAGTGGCACAATGACCTCATCAAAGTTCTTTCCATCTTTTTGCTCTGCCATCCTCATTTAGAGTTATTGTTCAAGTCTATGGCAAATACTTTAGAAACATTCTCGGGGTTGAGGGGGTGGCAAATATTTGTCTTTTAATGATGAATCTCATTTTCTGAAATAAGCAGAAGCTATACAGAGCCTTGTCTGGTGAGTAATATGAGCCATCAAGGTAGGTGACAACACTTGGGGTCACAGTCAAAGTAGCCCCATATAGTAACAGCACAGAATTTCTTGGCTTGCTTGTGATCTGACTCTAACAGCAAGATTAGAAAAGGCACTCCCAAGTATCTTGACTTATGTCCAAACAATTTGTGAAACGCATAGAATATGAACACCAAGAGTTTTCAAAGCCAGATCCCACCTGGATGTTTAAGTTTTAATCTGCTTGTTTAAAATAATAATAATAATAATAATAAGTTAATTTTTTTAAGTTTCCTTGTTACATGGCAGAGAAGGAAAGACTCCAGAGAAAGCACTCTTGCCTTCCCACCACTTGCCTAGATGAGGACCCTAAGGTGATGAGACCTGGGACAAATGAATTTCCAAAGTAGAAGGAGAAAGGGGTTCAGGGTAATCCCTGAGTGCTGAGTTCCAGGAGGCCAAGCCATGAGTGGGTGGCACAAGTGGACAGAAATAGCTCGGGGTCAAGAGAAGCCAAACTCCGAAGGTAAACCTGCTGCTCCCCACTGGGCCTAGGGGAAATCCTAGAGCAGCCTTTTAAGTTCCTTTAGCTGAATTTTCCTCTAAATCCAAACCCAAAGGGGTGTGTTTTGCCCGCCAGCTCCTTTCCCTTGCTTTGCGGTGTCCTCCCTGCAGTGTCTTTGTCCTTCATTCTCTTCCATGTAGATCTTAAGTAACCAAGAGGAATGGTTCAAAGCGGAGCTTGGAAGCCAAGAAGGATATGTGCCCAAGAATTTTATAGATATCCAATTTCCTGAGTAAGTATTTTCAGCCTGCTGAGATGGGCCTACCCACACACACTCCCCTTACTTTTTTTTGGTAGCTGCTAAAATTATCGATGCCTACACAAGATACTGTCAAAAAGGGTTGCCTCTAGAAGCGGGAGCCATGCAGCTGAAGACAGGGGTGGGGTGGGGGAGACTTAGATTCCACTGTATTCTCCTTTGAATTGTATACCATGTGTGGGCATTGCCTATTTTAAAGTTTTCATAAAGTAAGTTTATGCACTAAAATAATCTATAATGTTTGCAATCACAGGGTCTCCAAGAATTCCAGTGGGGGCACTGTTGGTCACCCTGACTTTAAAAGCTACTTCTAGGCCTTCCTCTGTTATCTCCCAACTCTTCCTTCCATCCTAACAAGGGATCCCAAGCAGCTCTTGGCTCTTAATCGTGCGTGTGGACGCTGCCTGCCTTCCGTAGACTAACTGCTTACAACTGAGAGAAGTCAGTGTGGGGAAAGGGGAAATTCCCTTGCTAAAGAGGAAATGAAAAATTGCGATTGGGTCTTGTTTGTCTCAAGAATCGACCACAAGGCTTAGATAGAAATATGATCTCATCACAGAGCCGGTATCTAGACGAAAGAGTGAAGGTTTGTTAGAAAACCAAAGTGATATTGGTGTCTCCCATTCAGTGCAGCAACACTGTTCTTTGTAAGCCAGTAATGACCTTGACCAGTACTGACCACTGACCTTGTGTGGGCCCTGGAGGCTGCCTGACATTCCTGCCTGTCTGCTCTCCTACTCTTCTAGAAGACCAGTTCCTACCTTGTCTTTGCTCCTCAAACCTCCATCTCCTCCTCACTCTCAGCTGGTGGCCTTGCTTCCAGGCTCATTGGGACAATGGAGCCCCCAAAAGAGAAAATCCCCTATCTCCCCCCACCCCCCCCCCCACCTCCCCTACTGCATCCACCCACCTCCTGCAACTGGACTCAGACACTCCGCCTTTCCTGCATCTGTTTGGACAAGCTATCTATGCTCCTAGCAGAAATTCTCTCCTCTCTGTCTTGCATCAACTTTCTTCCCTCACCCCTCCCCCCGGCTGCATCATTCCCATCAGCAAACAAATATGCTGAATATGCTGCAATTTCTCCCATCTTACAAAAAAACAAACACAAGCAAAAGAAAATTCCTGGTCCCAAATCCCCTTCTGGCCACCACCCCATCTCCTCAAAAGGATTGTTTGCACTCACTGTCTCCATCTCCTCTCTTCCCATTCTCTCTTCAACCCCCACAACTCCACCAGAACCTTTCTTGTCAAGGTCACGGAGAACTAGAAGTCCGAGGTCAGTCCTCAGCCATCGTCTCATCAAGATTTCACCTAGAGGATCTCTCCCTCCCTGTTGACACACTTTCTTAATTTGACTTCCAGGATACCCTCTCTCCTGGTTCTCCTCCCACCACCCCAGCTGCCCCTCCTCTGTTTCTTTTGTTGGTTCCTTCTCATCTCTCCAATCTCCTTTGTTGTTGTTAGATGCCATCGAGTCGGTTCCAACTCCTAGCGACCCAATGTACAACAGAATGAAACACTGCCCAGTCCTGCGCCATCCTCACAATCGTTGTTATGCTTGAGCCCATTGTTGCAGCCACTGTGTCAATCCATCTCGTTGAGAATCTTCCTCTTTTTTGAGGCCTTCCCTGTCAGCATATTTTAAATTCCTCCCCTGCCCCTCATTCCTTGTCCTTCCTCTTCATTTTCATTTTCTCCACAGCACCTGTCATCATATGACCTACTATGTATTTTAAGTATTTTGTTGTTCATTATCTGTCTCTCCCCACTAGAATGTTAAGTTCCATAAGGGCGGGGGTTCTTGTCTGTTCTGCTCACCACTGTATCCCTGGTGCCTAGAAGAGGGCTCAGCACATAGTAAATGCTGTTGTTGGCTGCTGTTGAGTCGACTCCGACACATGGCAACTTTACGTACAACAGGACGAAACATTGCCCGGTCCTGTGTTATCGCCAACATGTTCAAGTCCATTGAACTCCATCTCACCAAGGGTCTCCCACGCCCTTGTTGGCCCTCTACTTGACCAAACATGATGTTCTCCTCTAGCATTGATCCCTTCTGACAACATGTCCAAAGCAAGAAAGTCAGAAAAATATTATGTCGCACTCCATAAGATTTGATGTTCAATAATTAGCTGTTGAATGAATGAATAAATAGCTTTCAAACGACATGCAATATTCAAACCCTGGCCACTCGTATCTAACATGTAGTGTGTGGAAATCTCTGCAAGTCTTGAAAGAAGTCACTTATCGAATTCCAGTTGGAAGACAAATGTGTATTTTCTAAACACCCGTTCTAACTGCCTGCTGCATCTTCCAAAATATTGCCTTTGAGATATGACTGCTGTCCAGCCCTGTCCCATTCCTTTCCCCGCCCCCATTACATTTCCTACATAAGGCAGTGATGGGGTGGTCACTTTGGTCGCACTGCAGGATTGTGTGCAAATACTCTGGAAGGATCTCTGGGCAGGCAACCACCAGAAACCCCTTCTTCCAGCCCCTCGGAGGACAACCTACCTCCCCCTGCAGTCCCAGGTCTGAATAAGTATATCCTTCCTGCCATCTGTCTCGGATTCAGGTTTCTGAATTCTAGAAAGCACCAGGAATTGCCCACAAAAGAATCCAAAGCAGTGGCCTGTTGGGCGTTCGCCTTAAAGGGGTGCACATACTGGGCTTCCAGTGGCAGTAATGAGGGCAGCCACCCTGAAGCCATGTGACAGTCCACCTTTGTCAGCTGAAGGATTGCAAACACTCATTTCACGTTTCTGTGGATGAGAGAGGTATCTGGCCTCCTGCCCCAGGCTGTAGCCACTGTTTGCCTTGCCCCTGGGTCAGTGCTTGGCCTTTGTCATACATGCCATACTGTGTGCAGCAACACTTCCAGGGGCTGCCACCCCGACCCCACTCCTGAAAGAGCCATGTCTCCCCAGTTTCTTCTTTTCCACAGTAAAGATTCCAGCCTGGATTTTTGGGACAGCCAACGAGCCAGCTGTGTAGACACTGCTCTCTGGCTGCTACCAAAAAAAAAAACAAACAAACCCATTGCCATCGAGTCAATTCTGACTCATGGCAACCCCATATGTTACAGGGTAGAACTGTGCTCCATAGGGTTTTCTAGGCTGTAATCTTTATGGAAGCAGATCGCCAGGCCTTTCTTTCGTGGTGCCGCTGGGTCAGCTCGAGCTGCAGACCTTTTGGTTAGTAGCTGAGAGGAAACCGTTTGCGCCACCCAAGGCCGTTCTTGGCTACTGCCAGCCATGCTCATCTCAAGTACGAGTTCGGGGCTCCCTGGGGGCCATGGCAGCCTTGGCTGAGCACACTGAGCAGCCCCCTGGGGCTTACGCCAGCCATGGAGCACAGGCCTGCTCTGTAATTCGCTTAATTCCCCAGGAGGAGTCTCAGCCAGCTGAGGTCTCAGCCTGGGAGGAACCTGCCGGCTCCAGCCTGTGGCCCCTCACCCAAGGCGGCTCTTCCCTCCCTGCGGTTCTTTTCCAGCGAGCACGCATCCCTCACACAGCTGCCGGCAGGCCAGGCGGCTGCTTCCCGCAGTGAGTCACTCCCACACTGTCCCATTTTGGTGCAGTCGCACATTTCCATGATTTAAGTGTTCCAAGCTGGAGAGAGACCTCTGGAGGGAAGGAACAAGGACAGTGAATAAGGGAACACTCACTTGCCTGGAACCTGCCTAGAGGATTTGTTTGCTTTCAAAGGCGCCTGACCCCCTTTTGTCCCTTTTCTCTCCTCTTAGTAGAGTCCCCAGCCCTCTCCCTTTGGGTCATCTTTCCTCCATTTCCTTCATCCTATTACTCATACAAGGAGCCCTGGGGGCAAAATGGATAAGTGATCGGCTGCTAACCAAAAGGCCGGTGGTTCGAACCCACCAGCTGCTCCGCTGGAAAAAGATGTGACAGTCTGCTTCCGTAAAGATGACAGCCTAGGAGACCCTATGGGGCAGTTCTACTCTGTCACATGGGGTCGCTTTGAGTCGAAATCACCTCGACAGCATCCAACAACAACAACCATTCCGCTCATACAGGGTTATGGGTGGCGCAAACGGTTAAGTTCTCAACTAATAACCAAGTTTGGAGGTTTGAGTCCACCCAGAGGCGCCTCAGAAGACAGGCCTGACAATCTGCTTCTGAAAAATCAGCTGTCGAAAACCCTATGGAGCACAGTCCCACGCTGACACACATGAGGTCGCCATGAGTTAGAGTTGACTCCACGGCATCTGGTTTGGGTTTGTTTGTTTGTTGTTTTTTTCTTTTTGGATCACTCCCATGTCTCACCAATGTCCTCTTGTTTCATCCCACCCGACAGATGGTTTCATGAAGGCCTCTCGCGACACCAGGCAGAGAACTTACTCATGGGCAAGGAGGTTGGTTTCTTCATCATTCGAGCCAGCCAGAGCTCCCCAGGAGATTTCTCCATCTCTGTCAGGTACAGGCTGTTCCTGACCCCAGGCTGACCCTTCTCAGCCTGTAACTGCCCAGATGACTAAAGCTATGAGGTGATTGCTCGAATGTGGCCAAATAACTAGAAACACAGGAGGCCAAGGGGACCAGGCATCTTGTCAACTGTGAGGTATTTCCTTCCCATGACACTTGTACAGGACCCCTTAGTACATTGGTTTGTGTTAACATTGTTTACACTCATCCCCTCCCCCTCTACCCCTGGTGCTTCTGGAAGGATAGGATTTTTTTTTTATTTTAATTTTTTATTTATTTATTTATTTTATTGTACTTCAGGTGAAGGCTTACAGAACAAATAGTTTCTCATGAAACAGTAGTACACATATTGTTTTATGACATTGGTTAACAACCCCACAACATATTAACCCTCTAACTTCTCAACCTTTTTTTTTGGTGAAAATACACATAGCCAAAGATACACCGGTTCAAAATTTCTACATGCACAGTTCAGTGACATTGACTACGCTCTTCCAGTTGTGCTGCTATTCTCATTTAAGATGAAGGCTTACAGAACAAAATAGTTTCTCATTTAACAGTTACTACAAATGTTGCCCTATGACAATGGTTAATAATCTCACAACACATCAACAATATCCTTACTCAACCTTGGGTTCCCTATCACCAGCTTCCTTGTCCCCTTCTGCCTTCTGGCCCTTGTCACTGGACTACGGTACCTCATTAGTCCCATTTGGTTTTACGGGGCTGTCCACTCCCAGGCTGAACGGTGAACCTCGGAGATAACTTCACCACTGAGCTAAAACGTGTCTGGGGGCCCTACTCTCGGGGTTTCTCCAGTCTCGTTTAGGCCAGTAAAGCTGGTCTTTTTTTTTTGTGAGTTAGAATTATGTTCTTCATCCTTCTCCAGCTCTGTCCAGAACCCTGTTGTGATCCTGGTCAGAGCAGTCAGTGGTAGCAGCCGGGCACCATCTAGCTGTACTGGACTCAGTCCAGTGGAGGCCTTGGTAGCTGTGGACCATTAGTCCTTCGGACTAATCTTTTCCTTGTATCCTGTTCTCTTCATTCTCCCTTGCTCCCTAAGGGATGAGACCAGTGGAGTATCTCAGATGGCTGCTCACAGGCTTTTAAGACCCCAGACACTACTCACCAAGGTAGAATGTAGAACATTGTCTTTATAAACTGTGTTATGCAAGTCGAGCTAGATGTTCCCCGAGACCATGGTTCCCACAGCTGTCCGCCCAGCAATTCAGTCCCTCAGGGAGTTTGGATGTGTCTATGGGGCTTCCATGACCTTTCCTTGTACAAGTTGTGCTGGTTTCCCCTGTATTGTGTACTGTCTCACCCTTCACCCAAGATACCACTCATCTATTGCCTATTTAGTATTTCCCCTCCACCCCTCCCATCCCTGGTAACCAGCAAAGATTGTTACATTTTGTGTGTGAACTTTTTCATGGGTTTTTACAATAGAGGTCTCATACAATATTTGTCCTTTTGTGATTGACTTATTTCACTCAGCATAATGTCCTCCAGTTTCATCCATGTTATGAGATGCTTCACAGATTCATTGTTGTTCTTTCTCGTTGCATAGTACTTCATTGTGTGTACGTACCATAGTTTGTTTAGGAAGGATAGGATTTTTGTTGAGTTCATCTTTGTGCCTTTGATAGTGCTTTGCATACAATAGATGCTCAATGAGAATTTGTGGAAGGAAAGAAGGAATGGAAGGGAAAAGAACTCCCAATTGTACCTATCCCTCTTGGGGTTTAGATCTTCACCTTTTCTTTTACTACTGATGTATGTCTGAAAAAAAAGCATCCTAGAAAAATGGAAATCCCAAGTAGTCATTTTGTAGTCGTAAGTAGCTGAACAAAAGTCAGGGCTGAAGCGCTATCTCAACAAGGTAACGATGTAGGAAAATGAGAACAACGAAGCAAAGCTGGGGAGGGTTGGGGGTGGGGGGGCTGTAACAGCAATATCCTGTGAATGTGCAGCAGCCAGGAGGAAGTGACTCAGGCTAGGCATCAACATTACACAGTCCCATGCTCAGAAGCCCCAAGTCTGAACAACCGCTGCACGTGGTCAGCATGTCGGAGATTGCAAGTCAACTATCAGACTTGGTGACCGCATTTGACAGTGCAGGAAATAATGCTGACAGCAGTATAGCAGAATGCGTGACAACCTGCACAGTAAAACCTTGCCATGAAGTTAATTGACAGGAATCGCTGGTCTGGATTCTTCCATATTTTGAAAGGCATGCATACAGCTTTATGGCTTTAGTTACATAAATCTAATCTTGGGTGACAGGTGATAAAGTATGGTGACTTTACTGTTTATAAAGAATGGATATTTTAAAGAATAGATAGGAATGACTTACAAATAATAACTTAAAAATACAAATACTTACAACCATTTGTATGTGCCTGTGAGTCCCTGGGTGGCACAAAGCGTTAAGCACTTGACTGCTATCTGAAGGGTCAGAGGTTTGAACCCACCCAAAGTTGCCTCTGAAGAATGGCCTTGGTGAGCTGCTTCCAAAAGGTCACAGCCTTGCAGACCCGATGGAATACAGTTCTACTGTGCACACATGGAGTTGCCACGAGTTGGAACTGACTCAGTGGCAGCTGGTTTGGGTTTTTTTATTTTGTTTTGTTTCGATTTTTGGTGTCCGTAAAGTGCTTGGAAATAGTTCGGTCTTTTTTAGCATTGGCCTTGCAATCTTGCTTAAATTCTTAATTATCCTTAACTAGAACTTTCGTCTTCACACCTTAGGCTGTATTATTTAGCTCAGGTCAATATTGATGTATCACAAATTCTAAAACTTGTTAGGTCACCGTAAATGAAATTTTACTCTCTTAAGATATCTTCCAAGTCAAACCTGTTTTTTAAGGGCCCAGATTACAGACCAGACTAAGTAAATCCTGAGATTGAAGGACGTCTCTTGGTGCCTTTGGTTTGCATGAATTTGACTCTAGCTTTTTCAGCTAGGAATTCTGGTTTATATTTCTTTGATTAAAGTGAATTCTACAAAACGGCCAGCTTTGATTTCTGCCAAAAGCTTCCCCTTGTATTGAGGCAGTGCAACTTCTTATTATGATGATTATTACCATAATTATTATTACATCTCCTGCAGAAATGCAGCATAATGTATTCCAAAGCGAAATCATTTTTATTTATTTATACATCTGCTTTCTGTCGTGAGCACAGATAATTAAGAGCTAATTGTAGTTCCATCAATTAGCATTTGTTAGGCATGTGAAATAACAGTCTTGAAAGTCTGGAGCCCTGAGTTACATCCTTTACTCTGCTCTTCTTGGGACTTGAGACAATGGTCAGGCCATTCTCTCTCCGTAGACCCAGATGACCAACTGCACCCTGACATCCATCTTCGCACCTTAGGAGACTGAAAGAGTTCATGTTTTGCACTCTGAGTTCTTTGACTAAAAGGCAGGGGGTGAGTAATTATAATATCACAAGAATATTTTCTCCTCCTCACCCAGATGTAAGCAGTAATAATTATGAGCTGAGCCATGTCGTCTTAAAGCGAAGAAGCCAAAATCCAGGGGGAAGATTATACAGTGATGGCAATGCGTTGATTACTGCCCTAAAGCTGTCAAGCAAGAGGTTACTACAACCTTGGCTTCACCTGGCTATGAGCAGAGCCCAGGCCATGAGTATGAGACTGAAGTTGGGAATATCTATCCCCTTCTGAACACAGACCACTAAATCCATCCCTAAGAAACCTCCACTAATTTTCCAAGGTGTCTTTATTCTCCAAGACCCCTTAAATTCCTGGCCTTTCTAGTGGACCAGGCAATTATTATCTTTAGTGCCAGTTCATTTTAAGATACAAACGTATGTATGTTGGAAAAATAAACTTTATATCCAAAAGAGAATGACTTGGTAGTGATGGAGTAAGACTGAAGCTAATAATAAAGGACCAGTCCCCCCTTACCAGATGGATAAAATCCAATTTCTTCAACCTTGGTATAAATCTGCCCATCCCTTGTAATTCCAGACTGACATCAAAAGGTGCTGATCTAAAAGAAATTATTAAAAAATTAAAATTAAAAAAAAACAGTTGTTGAGTTGATTCTGACTCATGGCGACCCTATGTGTATCAGAGTAGAACTGTGCTCCACAGGGTTTTCAATCGCTGATTTTTAGGAAGTAGATCGCCAGGCCTTTCTTCTGAGGTGCCTCTGGATGGGCTCCAACCCCCAATCTTTGGGTTAGTTGCCAAGTGTGTTAACTCTTTGCACCACCTAGAGCTCCAAAAGAAGTTAGCATCTTTAAATTGTGTAACAGGCCAGGCTCTCTAGACTGGAATCATAGACGTGGGGTTCCCGTCTTAGTTCTGCCGCTCACTCACAGTGACCTTGACCAGTTGTCTTCACTTCTCGGAGCCTCAGTGTCTTCATCTGTAAAAGGGATGAGTTAGGCTAAACAATCTCTGCGGTCCTTTCCAATTGTAAAATGCAATATAATATATTTTTCTAGACATTTCTGTATAACAGTTTTTCTTCCAAAAAACTCAAAACACTTTGTAACTTTATTTATGAAAAACATCAACCTAAACCAAGAGACCCTCACTACATAGAGAACAAAGCATGACAAATTTCTCAGGGAAGAAGATAATTTCTTATCCGCTAGTGCTCATTTATGTGCTTAAAGGAGATGGCTCGAAGTATTTCTGACCACAGAAAGATAATAGAGGCTTGGAAACCCCTCCCATCTGAGTCTTGATGGAGTCATTAGCATATGACAGGACTCACCAGTACAGGCATTGCCACCTCTTTAGTCCTTAAAACCAAAAAATAAAACTCGTCATCAAGTCAACTCTGACTCCTGGCAACCCATTGTTACAGAGTAGAACTGCTCCGTAGGGTTTTCTTGGCTGAGATCTTTACAGCAGTGGATCACCAGGCCTTTCTTCTGCAGCACTTTAGATTAGGAGTCGAGTACAAACCATTTGCACCACCTAGGGACCTTTCTTAGTCCTTATGGAACAGGGACTTTTTTCTCCTGTAAGAGGTTAGCTCTAGAGTCCTAGACAGAGTCAGGCTCATATGATTGCCTTCTGCTGCTATAAAAATCCCCTCTAGAGTTCACCTAAAGGAGCCCTGGTGGTGCAATGATTAAGTGCTTGGCTACTAACTGAAAGGTCATCAGTTCAAACCCACCAACCGCTCTGCAGGAGAAAGATGTGGCAGCCTGCTTCCATAAAGATTATAGCCTTGGAAATCCTATGAGCAGTTCTACTCTGTTCTCCTCTGTTCTATAGGGTTACTGTGAGTCAAGGTTTAGAGTTACCTGTGTCCGGAGCAGTCCCTCCCGCAAACCACCTGGTAAAGCTCAACTGGGCAGTGACAAGTGACCCATCAACAACTACATTCCCTGCCCACACAGAACTCCCAAATCCCCAATGCATGCGGCCCTGGAGGCGGGGCATTCTCACTGTGTGTGGTACAATTTGGATTTGCCTTGCTCTCCAGGCACGAGGATGACGTTCAGCACTTCAAGGTCATGCGAGACAGCAAGGGTAATTACTTCCTATGGACAGAGAAGTTTCCATCCCTAAATAAGCTGGTGGACTACTACAGGACAACGTCCATCTCCAAGCAGAAACTGATCTTCCTGAGGGATAGAAGCCAAGAGGATCAGGTATGCTTATGGAGGCCACCCCATCGACTCCCATCTAGAGAGGCCAGCATGAGACCCCAAGAAAATGCATTTGAGGCACAGGTCCTCGGGGTATTCTGAAAGGCAGAATCACTCAAGTCAGATCTCAAGTTAAATACTAGCTTCACACTTTCAAGCTATGGGACTCTGGAAAGTTCTCTGACCCTCAGTTTCTTCATCCATAAAATGGGGATAATAGTGATATCCACCTCACAGGTGGTTGTGAAGATTAGAGAAGATAATGTCTCGCCATCCCTGGCATCCTTCCTAACCATGCTATAAGCACTCAATAAACATTAACTCTTACTGTGGAAGCTATTGTTTTGTTAAGGAGCCCTGGTGGTGCAGTGGTTAAGCTCTCGGCTGCTAACCGAGAGATTTCCGGTTCAAACCCACCAGCAGCTCCTCAGGGAAAAGAGACCTGAAGATCTGCTCCAAGATTAAACCAAACCTGTTGCCATCGAGTCAATTCCAACTCATAGCGACTCGGTAGGATGGAGTAGAACTTCCCCATAGGATTTCCAAGGCTGTAATCTTTACAGAAGCAGACTGCCACATCTTTCCCCCACAGAGCAGCTGGTAGGTTTGAACCGCCCACTTTTTGGTTAGCAGCCAAGCACTTAACCACTGTACCACCAGGACTCTTTCCTGTAAAGGTTACAGCCTAAGAAAGCTATGGGCAGTTGTACTCTGTTTTATAGGGTCACTATGAGTCAGAATCGACTCCACGGCACACAACATTGTTTTGTTATATATAGTTATCAGCCTAGGTTCAGGAGTTGTCCACGGATAAAGGATCGGGGGTGGGGTGGGTGGGTTATAGACACTGTCAATCACTCTAACTTGATTATCTCATTTAATCCCCACAGCAGCCCCGTGAAGGAGGTTTTATTATGATCCCCATTCTACAAATGAGAAAACTGATACTCAGAACGCTTTTGTAATTTGGCTAGGTAGTATGGGCAGTTAGAGATGAAATCAGGATTCAAAGCCAGGTCTGTTTGATGCAAAAACTATACATTTTCTATGACTACAATACTCTAAATTCCAGACAGTTCCAAGAGCAAGAATTCCAGATCTAATTTTCTCCTCCAATGCCACCCCCCCCCCAATTCCTGTCACAAAGCTCAACCTACTGCTTTTAGTCTTGGACTCTAGGTTGCTCTCTAATACCTCTGTCTGTAACCCCACCCCCAATCCCTGATCCTTCATCTGTGGGCACCTCCTGAACCCAGGCTGGTTTTTGGAAGTAGATCACCAGGCCTTTCTTCCTAGTCTGTCTTAGTCTGGAAGCGTCACTGAAACCCGTTCAGCATCATAGCAGCATTCACACCTCCACTGACAGACGAGTGGTGGCTGCACGAGAGGCATCGGCCCCTGCATCAGATCTGGGTCTCCCAAGTGGAAGGCAGAATTCTACCGCTGAACTTCTAATGTCCTCCCTGGCTCACCATATGCACTAAGGAAATGTTACTGGCCTTTCATAAGAAAATTCACACACACACACACACACACACACACACACTTTATAAAATATTTTGAAAGGAAATAACATGGCTAACCAGGGACAAGTTATTTGAAAAGACATCGTGACTTTTGAAGCACAGGTGCTTTGGGGAAACAAAGGCCCCCTCCCCCTTCAGGTAATTCATTGATGTGAAGCCTGAGAAGTCAGAACCAAAGGCAAAAAGGGTGTTCCCACCAAGTGCACACAAAAGTTCAGAAAAAGGAAAACAAAGGTTACCTGAGGCCTTGTGAATGCTTTTAACCAGGAAACAGATCACAGGATTAATTTACTAGGATGTATATTCAGAGATAAAAAAGGCAACATGAAACTGCATTAAACTGGATTAAATGAGTTAATATTTGTAAAGTGCTTAGGAGAGTGCCTGGCACATACTAGCCCCAGGGCCCTAATGTAAGTGTTTATTAAATAAAAATAATAATAAAGCATTTCAGTTCACGAACATTAAGCATTAAGCAGAAAGGCCTTGTTCTTTCCCAACATGCCTAGCGGCAGGCTTGGTTTCCATGGAGCTGTGAGAATGTTGTTGTGTGGGTCTCTATCACCAGGCTATAAATGACAGTTCAAAATCATGCCAAGTCAATATCTGGAAGGCAGGATGTCCAGCAGTGTGGTAACATGCGATAAGAAGGGGTGGCATTGTGTCAGTAAAATAGAATATTCAAGCTTGGTTACACTGAGAAAAACACACCTACTAGAAAAGAACTACATGGGTACCTGGTGGAAAGTGATCATCTGTGAACCGGGGACCGGAAGTCCTAAAACTGGGAGAAGCTGAGAAAGCAGAGGCCACTCTTGAAAACGTGAGAGTCTGGCCCATCAATTCTCTTTCACTGCTCCCCACCCCATCAGCTGTTTCATGGAGCTGTGGTGAGCAAAGTCAGGGAACAGCTGCCAGAAAATGGGGTAGGACCAGGAGATCGGGGGAGGATGGGTCTGGATCATCTTCGTTCTTTCTCCCAGGGTCGCCGGGGCAACAGCCTGGACCGGCGGCCCCAGGGAGGCCCACACCTCAGTGGAGCTGTGGGAGAAGAGATCCGGCCCTCAATGAACCGCAAGCTGTCCGATCACCCGCCTCCCATGCCCCCACAGTACCATCAGCATCAGCAGCCTGCTCCACAGTATTCCGCGGCAACGCAGCCACCACCACAGCAGCGGTACCTGCAGCATCACCATTTTCATCAGGTAACTCAACAGAAGGAAATGGAGCACAAGGAAGTGGGAAGGAGGACCTGCCTCCTCCCGGGCTCAGGCCACCTGGTCCCCACAGCCACTTAGTGTTTGAAAACGCTCCCCAGTGCTGGAAACAGCCTTAGCAGAGAAATCTGGGGATCTGCTGAGTTGCCGGGGCTGCTGCCAGGGGAGGGGCCTCCCATGTCTTGTCTGGTCTCACCAGGTCTGGTCACTTAGAGAGTTCATAAAGTAGACCCTGGGCCCCCAGAATGGCAGACATATGGAAACTGCTCTTGGCCAAGAAATCTGTGACTTCAACGGCCACCTGCCTGAAGACATACACATAAGCATACACACACACTTACCCTGAGGACTCAGTGAACAATTTATTTTCCTATCAGCACAATTCCAAATCTATTCATGCCCCTTAACCCATCTCGCTGGGGTGAGCTACAAGAAGGAAGGATTAACACCCACCATGAAGCCTTGCTTATTTATTTATTTATCCCCTGCCTGTTCCACAAGGGATTTTAGGCAGCTTACAGAGATGGACAATGCAGCCAGATAACATCAGTCCTAAATTTCTTAGCAGAGCATACAAATTCGTTTGTGAGCTGTTTGCCCAAGCCCCATCTGCTACACTCTACCTCCCCCGCTCCCCACACAAACACACCATCCAGCCATGCTGCACTACCTTTAGTTACCCTCTCACGCCTTTGTCACTTTGTATCTGCCCGTTCCTTCTACCTGAAATGCCTTTCTTTGGCTGGTCCTACTCCTCCTTGAAGCTAGAGTTCAAGCATCACCTCCTCTATGAAGCCTTCCCTGATTACTCAGGCTGACTTGGGCACTCCTCTCTGCTCACTAGAACACCCATCACAGACACTTATGTGTTCCTCCCTCTACACTGAAGCTCCCTGGAGGCAGGGACCTTATCTCTCCAATGACAAATCACTAGTCATGGCAGGTGCCTAATCAATAATTCTTAGTTAAATCAATGAAACCTGCCATCATCTTTGCCCTCAGAATCTAAAGTCCCTCTGCCGGCCTTCTCTCTCTCTCCGTTGTTGTCATTAGCTGCCGCTGAGTCAGCCCCTGACTCATGGCAATCCCATGCCCAATGGAACAAAACACTACTCAGGCCTGCACCATCCCCATGATCGGTTGAGAATTGGACTGTTGTGATCCATAGGCTTTTTTCTTTTTTTTAATTGTTATAAAAATACAGATAAGACAACATTTACCAATTTTTCATGTGTGCAATTCAGTGAGACCAATTGATCCACAGGGTTTTCATTAGCTAATTTTTTGGAAGTAGATTGTCAGGCCTTTCTTCCTAGTCCATCTTTAGTCTGGAAATGCTGCTGAAACCTGTTCAGCATCACAGCCATATACCAGCCTCTGCTGACAGGCAGGTGATGGCTGCACACGACGTGCATTGGCTGGGAGTTGAACCCAGGTCTCCCACATTGAAGGTGAGAATTCTGCCACTGAACCAGCAATGCTCTCTCCATTGTTGTTGTTGTTAAGTGCCGATGAGTCAATTCTGACTCAGCAACCTTTTGTGACAGAGCAGAACTGCCCCATAGGGTTTCCTAGGCAGTAATCTTTCTGCAAAAAAGAGGAAGACCCTCAACGAGATGGACTGACACAGTGGCTGCAACAATGGGCTCAAGCATAACAGCACTTGTGAGGATGGCGCAGGACCAGGCAGTGTTTTCTTCCGTGTACACAGGGTCGCTATGAGTCAGAACCGACTCGACAGCACCCAACAACAACAACAATCTTTATGGAAACAGATTGCCAAGTCTTTTCTCCCACAGAGTCACTGTGGGTTCAAACTGCTATCCTTTCAGTTAGCAGCTGAGTGCTTAATCATTGCACCACCAAGGCTCCTTGCTCTCTCCGTTACCTGAGATGTACCATCACCATTGGAAACCCTGGTGGTGTGGTGGTTAAGAGCTATGGCTGCTAACCCAAAGGTTGGCAGTTCAAATCCACCTGGCGCTCCTTGGAAACCCTATGGGGTAGTTCTACTCTGTCCTGTAGGGTCGCTGTGAGTGGGAATTGACTCGATGGCAATGGGTTTTGTTTGGGTCTTTTTATTGTCACCATCCTGGAATCCTGGCTGTGTCCATGGCTTCCAAGCACAGCGCCAGGAGGTGTGTGAGATGCTCTGACCGTGTGTCCTCTATCATCTCTGTATCTAGGAACGCCGTGGAGGCAGCCTTGACATAAATGACGGGCACTGTGGCTTGGGTGTGGGCAGTGAAATGAATGCCGCCCTCATGCACCGGAGACATACAGACCCAGTACAACTTCAAGTGGCAGGGGTATGCAAGCTTTCCCTTGCTGGGCTCCCTGGGAAAAGGCCACGGGGACAGAGCTCAGTGAAAGGCAAGATGGGGAATTAGAGAAATGGTTGGTCTTCCGGAAGAGACCTCAAACTGCAGAGATCAAAATAGAGGGAGCGGAACCTAGGGAGTGATGGTGGGAAGAGAGTTCTAAAGCCGGGCTGCCCCCAGCCTAGCACCATCCAGTCTGCCGTCTCAGTTTGGTTGCGGCGCCCGGCTCTGCTCTCACATTTCTCAGCTCTAGTTCTGGTGGTGACAGATCGGCTGCCTTTATAGTGTGGTCCATCTCCACTCAGTTATGCTAACACTGTGGGCTGTTAATTTGGGCACATTGCCAGTCTGTTTGTTACCAGAAAAAAAGAAAAATACCATATATTGATGCAGAGAGTAGTTCTAGAGGATTCTCTTGGGGCCTTGGAGAATAACATCCTTGTTAGTAAAAGTTCTGAGTCTCAAGAATAACCCCGGTGAGTTCTGGGAACTTCGCACTCAGGGCTGAGCATCCCAGCTCCACTTTAAGTTGGGTACCGAAAGCCACATGTCAGCCTTCAGGGAGGGTCGCTTTTGGAGGACTTGACCATGGTGCAAGCAGCCAGCAAGTCCTCGTCTGTGTCACGAGGGCTTCAAAGGAGACCCCAGTTAGCCCATGGCTCAGGCAAACCTGTGTTTTCTCTCCCCACAGCGCGTGCGGTGGGCCCGGGCACTGTATGACTTCGAGGCCCAGGAGGATGATGAGCTGGGATTCCGCATTGGAGAAGTGGTTGAGGTCCTGGATAGCTCCAACCCATCCTGGTGGACTGGCCGTCTGCACAACAAACTAGGCCTCTTCCCTGCCAACTACGTTGCACCCATGATACGATGAGGCCTTTCTTGAAGGGTCAGAGGCTTTTCATCTGAAGCGCTGGCAAAAGAAAGGGCAAGGAGAAAAGTTGAACTGTATACATTTGTCTATGCATACACACAATATTTTCTGATAGTAATTTATTGGCAATTTGGTTTGATTAATTAGCTGATATGAAAGGGACTCAATGGAAAATTATATTCATACTTATATTTCTACTCCCATCGGTGGGTGTGCAGAAGGCAGTGGGGGGGTTGGGAAGGACGGGGGCAGGGAAACAAACCAGAAATTCTCCCCGTCCTTAAGATCTCACCCCTTCCTCCTTGTCTTGTGCCTTTTCGCTGAGAGATCCACAACCCGGCATTGGATGCAGAACCACAGGGTGGGGTTGGACTTGGCTGGGCACGTTTTAGCTTACCTGCAAGCCCCAGTCACCTTGAGGTTTTCAGATCAGCTTTCCTCCTCTCCTCTATGGGTGGGCACGGCAGGGTTGAGAATGACAGTGCAACAGGCAGTCAAGCAAGTCTAAGCTTGGGATTGGGGAGGGGTGTGAAGGCACCGCAGGAGAAGCTGTTGTCCCGAGGCCTGTGGTGGAGGCCCTGCCTGGGCAACACTGCCTCTGGCCTCCTATTCACTGCCTGGCAGAGACTTTCATCTGCCTCAACAGAATGTTCCTTGGAGAATCCTCACGTCTTCCTTACGGCTGACATAAGAGAGCTTCTCCAACATGGAGAAACTGAGACATCGCGAGGAACCAACCTCTGAGAAATTGAGGTAGTGTTCACGAACCCTCGAGTGACTTACCTGGATGTAACCCCTGTTTCCCCAGCTCTGAAGAATGCAGCATCCGGATTCTAGAATGGGCTTAGAGGAACCCTGGCCAAGAATGCTGAATTTTGGAGGCATCATTGTATGGTTACAAGAGAGTCTCTTCAGGACTATTTTCCCTCTTGATTTTCTGTGTTTGAAGACGCCTTGCCTGGTAGCACAGAAAGAAGCCCATTTCACAAGAACAGTTACTGGCAATTGATTGATTGATCACAGTGACTCCGGGTAGAAGCTGGCTTTGAAATGAGCGTCCTGTTTGATCTGGCTGTCGGACCCCTGCTGGAATCCTTCCCCAAGAGAGAACTCCATTGTTATGGTCTCTCCTGTCTCCTCAAACTAGAATCGTCTTCCTAGCCTCACTCCAGGGCATGAAGCACAGACTTGTGCTGGCTAGGGGACAAGAGACACAAGAGAAGGAAGCCCAGTATGTTGGTGGAGACTGGAACTCACACATCTGGGTCGAGGGCACTTGGAAGGCACTTACCCATCAAAGCTCACGTGCTCTCTGCCTTATAGAAGGAGTGTGTGTCTGTCTGTCTGTGCGGGCACACGCACGTGCTGAGCCTCGGAAGAGAAAGTTGGGGTGACAGTGTTGGTGAGGGAGCATGGGAGGGCAAGTGGGGGCCCTGTTGCTTTGTTTCTCTTCCCAGCCCTTCCTGC